TCTTTATATTGTAATTGACTGAGGCTGTGCATTTTTACCACACATAACCAACCTTTGCATCCTGTCTATGTCCTAGAATGGTTCATAACATACCTGGCATGAGTCCTTACACACTCATTTTCTTTTCATTGATAAATTATTTGATATGGTATTCTAGAACCTCTCCTCATCTCATTGTGATTTTGTTTTCTGATCACAACTTTCTAACCTTTCATTTGCTATTCAGTCTTATGGTCTCGTCATACAGTTAAGAACTTGTACTTTTTGGCCGTCTCTGTGAGAGTTCTCATCAGTGTTTCTTGTAGAGGGGTCCTCACACTTGGAGTGAGTTTTTGTTTAATGACTCATTGCTTGTAGCTCTGCAGTGTTTCCTCTTGTAGGTTTTCTGTCTTCACACACTCCCTCAGTTCACTGTGATTCCCAGTAGTAGATTGCACAGTGTCTCTGTCATCAGCACTTTATTTTCCTTGATGTTTTCTTCTGTTTTCCCTTCTTTCCTCAACCTACACCAATCTCCCTGTTGGAAAATTACAGCACGAGTATATTTTTCTTTGTAGACGCTTAAACTTTGTGGTACTGTGTCTTCTGCTTTGGCTCTCCTATCCATTCCATTCCCTTTCTCTTCGGTCCTAGGGTATTAAAATTAAACATCAGGAAGCTAACGTCAAATTAGTATGTAAGATAAAATGTGTTACATTTGTCTTTGTCTGCCTGAGTTACTTCTCTCGGTATATATATATATATATATACCGAGACCTTTATTTTATTTAGACCTTTATTTCCTTAAGGAAAATTTCCTAGTTTTCTTTTTCTATATAGCTGGGTAATATATACCACATTTTCCTTATACATTTGTCACTTGCTGGGAATGTGATGTGATCATTTTAGGCAGCTCTTGAGTGTAGAGTTGTAAAGAAAGGAGAGACGCAAGGGCCTCTGCAGCAGGATCTCGGTTGCTCTGCACACATTCCTAAAAGTGTTGTGGCTCGTGGTTAGACTGGCTGCACTAATTTACATACACAACAGAGATATTTCTTTGCCTTACTTTGGCATAAAAAAACAAAATAATTTGTTTTGATTATTTAAAAATAGCCACTCAATTTGATGACACAGTCTCTTTTTATTCAATTTTTAAAATTGAAACTACACCCATTATTTTTTATACAATGTATTCTGAGTATGGTTTCCTCTACTTCAAGTTCTTTGAGATCGTTCCTACTTACCTCCTCATCTGAATCCACACCCTTCCTGTCTCTGGTTTAAAAGAAAACCGACATCTAAGGAATAATAAAAAAGTAAAATAAGATAAAAATATATATGTAAGAAACCAAGAAAAGGAAGAAAAAGATCCAAAGAGAAAGGTCTACAGTCACATACAGACACAGAGACACATGTGTTTTTACACATAGGGACCCTGTAAAAGCACAAAACCAGATGCCACATATAACAAGAACCTCTAAGGGAAAAGAAAAAAAAATGCTTTGGCAAAACATTATGAGATAGAGTGCATTCAAAACAGTTACTGAATTCATGATGTGTTGACTGTCTACTGGTATAGCTGTGGCCTGCCTTTAAGAGCAGCTTTGAGACTCCTTTGGAGAAAACTACTTTTTCATTTGTGATTAGTTCATAACTGAAGATAGCTTCAAAGACAGGGAACAGAGACTGTCTCCACCTCTCCTCTCAGCTCTGAGACCCCATCTAGTGCATACCTGTGAAGGTCCTAAAAACCCTGCTACAGTCTCCATCGTTCCTGCTGAGGTTTGAGGCCCCTTTTCCTTGGTGTCCTCCATCCATCCTGTCTCTTTGAATATTTCTACCTCTTCTTCTGCAAGTATCCCTGAGCCCTGAGGGGAGGGAGTTGATGAAGATCTCCCATTTAGAACCAAGTCTTGAAATATCTCTTACTGTTTACACAGTATCCGGCTGTGTGACTCTGCATTTTTTCCATCTAATACAGAATGAAGCTTCTCTCACGATGGCTGTTCCATGTACTGGTCTATGACCACAGCAGAATGTTGTTAGTTGTCTTATGGCTATGTTCCTTTAGCAGAACAGCAGTATTTGTTTTTTCCCAAGGTTCCAGGCTGGTCTCAGGTTTTCGGCCACATGAGCAGTGTTGCCTATGGGTTTGCTCTCATGTAGTGGGCCTTAAACAAAGTAGAGTCGGTGTTGTTTATTCCCGCCCGCTTTGCACCTCTACTTCACCAGCTTAGAGCCGTTTTCACCTACATATCTTGATGGTTAAGGATCTTGATCACGTCTTTAAGTGTTTCTTAGCTGTTTGTATTTGTTTTTCTGAGACCTCTTCATTTACTTCCATATTCATGCTTTAATTAGCTCATTTGATTTTCTTCAAATTTAGATTCAGTTCTTTGTTCCCTTGCCTTCTCTAGTCACTACCTACTAGCTGAAAGAGGGTTTCTCTCATTCTGTGGGAGTTGAAGCATACATGTGGTTTGGGGAGAAAGTCACTGGTAGTGGCTTGGCATGATATGGGGTGTCTTTCTGATCCGGATTGAGGAGGATCACTAGTGTGGGATAGTATCTAAGCTTCTGTAGAGTTAAAGAAGGACTTAGAGGCACGGTGTTTGGAGGAATTGACTAGCTCAGTATTTCCTGGCTTTGAAACAGCTGTGCAAGGGAGTGGACTAAGGGAGAGTGCAAATGTTATAGGTGTTGGGTGGAAGGACTGCCTGACAGTGTCTGTCATGATCTTTGAATGCGTACTGTGGCTTCAGCAGGCTCAAAAGGAGAAGACTTTGTAGAGGGTGGATGAGGAGACACTGCCTTTCCTCTTCTAAACTTGGTCCGGAATGTTCTTCACGACATTTTATGTTAATCCTTTATCATATGTATGTATTACAAATTCATTCTTCCATTCTAAACTTAATCTTTCGTGATGTTTGTTTCTACTTTACTCTATGTCAGTCACAGTTTCAATCTGACTCTTTATTTTGGATTTTTTTTTCTTTGTTTTGGTTTCGTATTGAGAGAAAACAGTGTACAACCATGTTACAGAGCTTTCCAATCATTTGATACGCTTTACTCCAATAATTCCATAAAGTCAAACCTCACGTTTACACCTTTATTTCAATTTCAAATGATTATTTTGCATATGGTGTACACACGAGTGCAACTTTCTTGTTATGCATGTGCATAAGACTTTATTTCAAGCAAAATTTCAGCATATGATGCCCACTCTTGTGGTCCAGCAGCCACGTGTCAGATAACCAGGAATAGCTAACATTTCATATTATTGTGTTGCACACTATTGGAAAATTAAACAAAATTAGTTGTGGAGGATATTACCAGCTAGGTTTAACTTTTCCATTATAGGAACATAAAAACCTGTCAGTTACTGCCTCCAGAAATCCAGATTAAAACCTGGATTATATCATAAAGGACTTGAACCCTATGTATAACAAAAATTAGAAAGCTTTCACTCACCCAATCCAATTAACCTACTGTACGTTGGATTACGTTATACAACACTGAATTACATGAGCCTTTTTACCAATAACAATATATTTTTTTTAAAATGGAGATCCACAAACTGAAGTTTCTCATTGTCATCTTTTGCCTTAAAGGAACATCAATCTGAAAACTCTCCTGGCTGTTGGAGGTAGCGATTTTGGATCTGCCCCGTAAGTGCTCTTCTCAGAGTCTCCTACTCATTTATTTTGAAAGTTCCTTTCATTTTGAAAGCAAGCTAGTCCAGATCTATATGTACTCTGTTATTTCATAACATTAGCATGTATGTTGATGATGTCCATTCATGAATGTTGAAACTCAATAAAAATTTTTCCTAGAGCATTAATGTACAACAGAGCGAATTGGAAAGACTACTCTGGCTTTTTCATATTTAAGCTTGTCATGATATGAATGGACAAAATCCTCTAAGCTGTAAGTTAGTGCCTGCCAAAGAGCCTCTTCTTAAAAATTTCACTGTGGAGGAAAGGTATGACAAATGTCTTCCCTCTTTCTGTCTTCTGAAGAAGAGAAAAGAAAGAACAGCCTATGGGCAAGAAAACTTCTTGAGTGTCCTTGTTTTTGGAAGGCATTTGAAGAAAAATAAACATGGTTAGCTCAGAAGTTTGACTATCGAAAACACCACAGGCAATTTGGGAATTGTTAGAGTAGAGACAAGAAATCCATGCCAAGGTGCAATGTCTGAAAAGAGATAGGATTGTGGAAGGAGGCGGGGTGAAAACCAGGGAGGCCAGGGGAAGTGCTCAAAGGCAGAAATGGAGTTATTCACCAGTTTGATTTTAATGTGTCTTTCTCAAGGTCTTACACTGACATGTTTGGTCTTCCTCAGTTTCTCATACATGGTGTCCACCCCTAAGTTCCGTGAGACTTTTATCAATTCAGTCATTGACTTCCTGCGCCTGTATAAATTTGATGGGCTGAACCTGGACTGGCAATACCCTGGGTCTCCTGGGAGCCGTGCTGAAGACAAACATCTCTTCACTGTCCTACTGCAGGTGAGAAAATGGCGAATGTGTTTTGAGCCATGGAAGATACAAAGATTGTTCTTTCTAAGATGTGTTGCATAATGAAGTCTAACAAGAGTTTACAGTTGGGGAATGTTAGGATCACCAAATTCCTTAGATATCACCATGCATTATAGCAACAAAATATCTCAGATGGGTAGCAACCAAATGTTTGTGAAGAAGAACCTGAGACAATCCACTTTCCTGTTGTTACTAGCAACAGTAGGAGATCTCTAATCAAAATGATTAAATAATGTAAAGCCAAAGACTTCAGACAGTTTGTACATCTCTCCTTTTGTAAGTGAGAACCTTTACTGTCTAGATTATTTTCTTATTCTTTCCTGTGTACTTCAGTTTCTTATATCATGTAACTATCTGTCCATTGACAGATTCATTTTCATACCACCCATGTATACCAGCTCCTCGGTCATTCTAAATAGTTTCAACCTAAAATATTAAGTCAAGTCTAGGTCACTATTGCTTAGTAACACCAAGCATCAGGCAAAATTCCTCTACATCCAAGGGAAACAGCCTCCAGCTCCAGTAATGATTCTCAGTTTTTGCTACTAGATCTGCCCTCAGAACAACACAAAAGAAATGCACATATAATGTGACATATATAGGTTTCATATTTGAAGACAGGTGCTAAGCCCTTTTTATTTGGTCTTAACCATCCAATAAAAAATGGTAGTCAAATTACCACTGATCGACATGGTCATGTCTGTGGGCATTCTCTTAGAAAATGATTTGCATTCTACCCAAATAACTTCTTTATTAGAGCTGACCTCAATACATATTTATTTTCTCTGGAACTGAATTGTACTCGTCACCCAGTAATTACCAGTTTACTCTTTGGATAACTCTAACTCTACACCTCATTCATTCATATCTTGGTATTATGACATACTTCTGTTTTCTCCAGCATGGAAAACTGGTTGCAGGGAAAGCCTGCAAGCAAAACTTCTCAGCCCAGGGCCGGTTAGGGAAGCTCTGACGAGAAACATGGAATCTAGATTTGGATTACTGGATATAAAATCAAGTGGGGCACAGTGAATTTTTCTAGTGTCCATGTTTATTAGATATCTGTCAAATTATTTAATGAGTTTATTGATAGTGACCTCACATTTTGATAGTTTGATGAAACAAACTATCAAAAACATTAAAATTATTATACAACTATATGTATATCTTCATAATATAATTCAATAGTTAACATGAATGTGACGTACACCTAAATGTTCTGTAGGAAATGTATGAAGCTTTTCAGCAGGAATCCATGAAAAGCAGAAAGCAAAGGCTGTTGGTCACTGCGACAGTAGCTGGTGTCATTTCCACCATTGAGTCTGCCTATGAGATCCCCCAGTTGTCTCAGTAAGTGGGCCTTCATACTGTCTATCGCCTCTTGGAATTCAGGCAGAGGACACTAATCTTTAGGGGGACTTTTTGCCCTCATGCTTTGTGAACAGGTTTTAGAAAATGTGTATTTTTCTTGAATAAATGTGGGAAAGGTCCATACTAAAGGAGATAAGTGTTTCTTCTCCCCAAGGTTCCTGGACCACATCCTGATCATGACTTATAATCTCCATGACTATAAGGAGAGATGCACTGGAGAGAACAGTCCCCTGTACAAATCCCCAACTGACACTGGCTCCAGCACCTTCCTCAGTGTGGTAAGACCCTGAAAAGATGTGATGCACACCATGCTAGAGATCGTCTAATTGTTGAGAATTTAAGGTGTAAAGCGAATAGAAGTTGTGTCTATGCAGTCTTCTCAAACTGCTGACCATAAACCATTAATAAGAAACGGACAGATATATTTTGGAAAAACTTCTAATCCATCTGTCTTTCCTCGCACACTCTGTGCTATTAGAACAGGAAGTTAACATGTATAACCACAAGTCATCAGCTGTGTGGGTCCTTTAAATTTTGGTTCTGTTTCAGGATTACGTCATGACGTACTGGAAGGAAAGTGGTGCTGCAGCTGAGAAACTCATTGTGGGCTTCCCAACATATGCACAAACCTTCTTCTTGACTGACTCCTCCAACCATGGCATTGGTGCTCCAGCCTCAAGCCCTGGCACTGTAGGCCCCTACACACAGGAACCTGGGATCCTGGCCTACTATGAGGTCAGTAATTTGGCTGTCTAGTGGTGTTTCAATTCCAGGCTCTGCACTGTGCTGTAGCTTTGGGTCAGAGGAGAGGGTGGGGCAGGAGGGTGGAATCAGCTGCATCTGAATATTCATTTAGTTCATTTCCTACTGGCTCTAATCAGTGTCCTTCCAAATACATAAGTTGGGTTAATTGTTTTCTTCTGCCTTACTGTAGAAGAGTCAACAGTAAATAATATTTCTTCATGTATCCGGCCACTTCCTGATGGGTGTGTACATTAGCACAGTGGAAATATAAAGTAAAAAAAAAAAAAAAAAAAAAAAAAAAAAAAAAAAAAAAAAAAAAAAACATTGCTGAACAGTGGATTCTGTTGATCCAGGTATGAGATCTGGACTTAGCTGAGTATCTGGGAATAACAGAAGCTGAGTGCTCATCTGTGCTCCAGTTCTTTCCTTAATGAAACTGACTGTGGGTACAATCTCCAGTAGGGTATGGAGAATAATACTGATTGAATAGTTTTGGCAACTGTAGTACCTCACATGTAAACAACTATCAGTCCTCATATGCAGTAAACTCACTAGTGTAAATTTAGTCTGTCCTATACATATAGATTTTACCTAAAACAAAACACAAAAGATGAAATAAACAATCAAATGAAACCAAAAGTAGGAAAGAAATAAAGAAAATTTTCTAACAGCGAACTCTTACTCAATCCAAATAAAAACATATCTCAGTATATTTAACAAGAAAAAACATCTATTAAAAATTATGCACAAAACATCAAATAAAATATGTTTTTTTTTCAAGGCATAATAGTTCAAGAATTTGATCTTTTGTCTTTTTAAAGGTTTGTGACTTCCTGGCAAAGGGAGCCACTGAGGCCTGGGATGGTCCTCAGGCTGTTCCCTATGCGTACCACAACAGTGACTGGATTGGGTATGACAATACCAAGAGCTTCAATATCAAGGTAAGTATGGTTCTTGGACATACAGAAGCCCCACTCATGAGTGGCAGAAATCCAAATGATCTGGCCCTCTCTCCATAACAGGCCTCCTGGCTTCAGCAGAAGGGCTTCGGTGGTGCCATGGTCTGGGACCTTGGCATGGATGACTTCACTGGCTCATTCTGTAACCAGGGCAAGTTCCCTCTGACTTCCACACTGAAGAAAGACCTCAGAGTGGTCAGTCCAAGTAAGTGACAGCAGGGTTGTGCCTACAGTAGTACATAAATGTCCCTTCGCTGACTCACAGACACCCTCAACCTGCCCATCACTGTTGTGCAGGGGGAATCTTCCCATTTCAATCCATTGCTCTTCCCCAAGTGGGAGAAAAATACTGACTCTCTCCAGTGCATGAACTTCTTCCATGCTAGGATTTAGGGCTCCTAAAGGAAATTACGATGACCTTAGTGCACAAGGGAGCATGCACAGTTTTCTCATTTTCAAGATGTGGAAGGACATTCGGGAACTGCTGACTTTTACTGTGTGTATCTGTTTCCCGTGAGGGCATCCTCACAGCTTCACTCTCTCTCGCTTGAGAAATATAACATGAAGGAGTTAAGATTGCTCTCAGTTCTTCTACCAAAATCACCTTTTCATTTGTGTTTGAAACAAGCTATTTTGGGTAAGAAGCATTTATAACCTTGGCTTCCATCACTAGGTCGTATTATAAGTGATTTATATTACAAGGCATGTTAAATAGAAAGGGCATTACTGAAACAGGATAAAAAGGACACACAATTACATGAGAACGTGGGTTGATGTGACATCCATCCTTTTTAAACTTTGGGGTACGGAGATACCTTCTGATCTGACCTGAGAAAATGTGGAGATAATTGTCCTTCTTCTCTCTAATGTGTGTTACTATGTCCACAATTCAATTCTAGGAAAAGACTTTTCTTTCCTCACCATGGTCTCCACTCATAACTTTGTGTTGTGTCTTTCAGGTTGCATGTCCTTTGATTTAGGGCTTCATCAGGTAAATGCTCCACTAGACAGTGGGAGCAATGGTTGGAAGAACGACTCTGGGACAGTGGATTATCTGTCTCCTGTACCATGAGAATAATAAAAGTGCCTTCCTCTGTTGATATAGCCCACTCTAATTCCTGCACAAACACCAAGTGGATCTTATCCTGAACCCATCTGGGATGAGAGAACTTGGCATGTCCTTAACCTTTCAGTCTTTCTCTCTGCTCTGAAAAGAATAGTCTCTTTGATTCTTGTAAGCTAAATTGCTTATCTCTAAAATACTTGAATAAAATCAGCATTCAAAACATGAGTTTCTCACTCTGTGTGAGAATGAGTGTCTGTGTGTGAATGAGTGTGTTGTGTGTGTGTGTGTTTGTGTGTACGCGTGTGTGGGATCATGTGTGTGCTGACAGTAATTATTTGTCCAGGTAAAAATAGCAGTTCTCTGTATCTGTGTGCGTTGTAGTTTTAGAAGACAATGTGCTAAGAAGTTGGAGTCATGAACCTCATAGTCTTTTGTCTGTCAACATCCATGTGCATAATGGTTGAGACTGTGAGAAGGAAATGTTTGATGTTGGTGCAGAGATGGATGGTGACTTGAAGAGTTTATATCTGTCAGTTTCAGACCATACTCCAAAAGGAGTCACAGTGACTACAAGACAACAAGACATAGAAGCTGCATGTCTTGCTCATCAGTGAAATCCGGGTTATTTTTTTCACTTCTATTAAAGTCTCAGAGCCTTTTCCTCACCTCCCACTATTCTGATATTGTACACCATTACCATACTCTCCTTCTGCTTCCATTTTCTCTTATCCCCCTCCGCCCCACCAATTTTCATTTTATCATTTCACTTTATGTGCCTTCAGAAATTCTTGGTATAAATCCTTGTTCAGGTTATTTGAGTTTAAAATACCTTCTCACATTCTGTGTGTTGTAGTCCTACTAGGTGGGGTTTTAATAAATATTGAAACTCCTACACTGTGAAGTGTGAGCTCTCTGACCAATTAGATGTGAGTGGGCTCGCTGCATGCTCAGTACTATGTGAGTTTTATGCCAAGAATTATTTTAGCCCCTAGTGAAAACGCTGCTAAAATAACAACGATTTTCTGACTTCTTCCTGCCTACCACAAATTAGAGGGTTATCTCCAGAGCTGAGTCATTCATCTGAGGGGCTCCTCCAGGAGTAGCTAATGCTTCTCTTCTAGACAACACAACCACATTTGCTTTAACTCTAGAGAAGCTGCTGGCACAAGCTCACTTCTCTGCTTATGGTGATGTATATTTCAGGTTCAGGGTGTTTATTCTGATGTTTTGTTAGTAGCTACTGTTGTAAGAGTGGACTTCATGAGTAGGAACCATCACTCTGGGACAGTTGATTCTGTGTCACTCCCAAAATATATGACAGCAGTGGCTTCTTGGTATTATGTAACAGGAATCCCATTCCAGAAGTACTGTGCAAAAAATATTGTATGTGATATGAGTTGTGATTG